GTAGGCTGGGCGCTGAGCGCCAAGTAGGAGAGTGAAGGGACTGGACTCTTGTGTTGGTGAGGAGAGAGAAAGCTCTCCGTGACATTGGTTTTCAGTACTGCGAACCTCCATTGGTGTATTATTGGTTCAATGCTGCTCTCTGGACACGGTGCACTTATCTGGCTTTCAACGTGATTGTGTAATATGGATGTGTCATCTCGCTGTTGCTCATTTTCCTTGCAATTTGGTATCGGAGCTGGTTCATATTGCGTTTCATTGGTTCTTCGCAGTAGCTGTTCAGTGGTTCGCATGAGGTGTGGGGCAGTGATAAGGCTTGGGCGTTGAACGTAGGGCGGCCCAGGGTCGTGTGGGCGTGCCAGGAAGCTATGTGGTGACATACGGGGTGTATGCTGGATGATGAGAGCTCGCTGATGTGGCATATTAAGCCGAGGTGGAACTGCATTCTGTTGTTGGTTGTGCCGAGGCAAAGACTGGTCATCATAAATGCACATCAGGTTGCCGGTGAGAAATCTGTGGTTGGGGGCAGCATTACGAGGTACGGTGCTCTTCCTTATCTACCCTCTTCATTACTTCTTACCGTGAGGAAGTGAGTCTTGTCTTGAGAGTCCTCTGGATGTGAGGTGTCGCGAGCACTCAACCTTGAGAGTCGGCATTCTTCCTGGGCAGCAAGCTGGTGGGAGACGGCGAAGCCTGTGAAGGGCCCTGGACGAAGCGCTCGGGTCACGGTCACCATGCCAACCCGCTGGGACTAGAACACGCATGCTTTGCCGCGAGTCCTTGGTTCTGCTGCTTGCGCAATAGAGGTCATGCATGGCATGCCAACCCTTTGAACAGACGCTTACCAGAGACCGTCTCTAAATATTTCTGGCAGGGACTCGGTGTTGACTTTGGCTGTGATCGTCATCCTGTCTGCGATGTTAAATAATTCCTGAGGAGTTACGAGGGATCTCCTTAAATGCCTCCTGATCAGCCAGATCAAACCGGGTGTAAGGCTCGTTGCATGCGAGGGTAAATAATGTGCAGGGGCTGGCAGGTTCGGCGTTGACTTGGGGCACAGGGGTGGGGCGGATTGCACACCTTCAGACACGCTGCTCAACCAGATGCGCCGGGCGTTGACACAAAGTGACAACTCAAGAAAGATACAGGGGGAGGGAGGATTCTAGTAACTGTTCACAGTGGCAATCATTAGACAATCTGCCATCCAGTATACATCTCCAACAAGAGATATTATTTCTATTTTTGATTATTTAGTTGTTACAGACTTGACTAACAACTGACAGACAGCTGCAGACAGACTAGTTCTTTGTTGCATTGCATTCAATCCTAGAGTAATCTAAAAATAGATATGATATTTCTTGTAGGATCTAACATTAGTTGTTACTACATCACCTAACTATTTTTGTTCTTCTTCAAGTTTTATTATGGATGAAATTGTCAAAAAGGATGATTTGAAAGGTTATCGTAAAATGGTATCAAATAGGGATGATTCCAAAAAAGATTTAGAGTTTCCTAAAAAGTTCAGGCTAAACAAGTAATTGCAGAGTGTTGGCTTGCGAGTCAGCCAACAGACTCAACTCACGCCGGAGGATTATGAAATCCTCCAAGCAGAAGAACTTCAAGATGAGTTACAACGACAATTGGATGAGGCAGCAGATAGGAGAAGAAAAGAAATCATGAGAAAAGCTAGACTAGGCAGTAGATTGCAGGAGTTCAGCAGATTAGAAGCACTAGATGAGTCAACACTTGACCCTGCGATACGAGCACTGCGTAACTCGCTCCTGTGTGTGGCGGAGACCTAAGTAGTTCAGCAGGAGGTGTTGGCTGAACTAGTGGCAAGCCATAAACGAATTTTG